CCAGGTGGGTCTTGAACCTGTGGGCTCAGGCAATCCACTCACCTCAGCCTCCCAAAGGCGTGGGATTACAGGTTGAGCCACCGAGCCCGGCTTACATCATTATTCTATAAGCTTTCTTCTATTAAAATTTTTTAAAACATTTTGTTAAAAACTAAGACACAAAAACACCCAGGGTCAGGATCATCAATACCACTGCCTTTCACCTCTGCACCTTGATCGCTGGAAGGTCTTCAGGGACAATAACACACTTGGAGCTGTCACCTATGACAACAAAGCACTTTTCTGGAATACCCCCTGAAGGACCTGCCTGAGGCTACTTTACAGTTAGCTTTTTAATTTTACTAATAGGATGAGTACACCTTAAAATAATGATTAAAAGTACAGTACAAGCCGGGCTCGATGGCTCAGCCTGTAATCCCCCGCCTTTGGGAGGCTGAGGTGAGCCTGCAGGTTCGAGACCCACCCGGGCAACTTGGCGAGACCTCATCTCTACAATAAATCAAAAAATTAGCTGGGTGTGGTAGCGCATGCCTGTAGTTCCGGCTACTTGGAAGGCTGAGGCGGAAGGATCGCCGGAGCCCCAGCAGGTTGAGGCTGCGGTGACCGGGAGTGGCCACTGCACTCCAGTCTGGGCGACAGAGTGGGACTCCAACTCAAAAAAAAAAAAAAAAGGTACAGTACAGTATGTACATAGGTCAGTAGCAAAGTCATTTATTATCATTGTCAAGTATGGTGTGCTGTATATAATTGTATTGCTGGGCTTTTATGCTACTCACAGCACAGTAGTTTATACCAGCATCACTACAAACACGTAATTTGTTGCAATAGGACATCATGACAGCTACAACATCACTAGGTGATAGGAATTTCTTAGCCAGTTCCATTATAGTCCATGGGACCATGTATATGACAAGGAAGCACACAATGCTGGTTTGTCCCAGTACTGGTGCTGACTCTATCTAATGACTTGCCCAAAGTGATGTCTGTCAGATTTATCCAGTAAAGTTACTATTTTCTCCTTTGTATAAGTAGTAATGTAGAGAGTAACTTTGAGCCCATGTAAATATCCTGGTCCTTATCAAACCTTCACTGAATGGTTTTAGCATCTATTGGTTATTTCCCAACTCTATCATTTCTATTATATTTATCAGCTGGCATTCTACCAAAAGGAAGTGCTTTCCTTTCACCCTTGTTTGTTGTTTATATTAATATGAACTTATAAATATTTATTGTACTTGGTGGGTCATGATCCGTTACTAATCATTTATTTTAATGCCCAGTTGTCCCAGTTTTGGTTCCAAGTAGCTGGGACTACAGGTGCACACTACAACGCCTGGGTAATTGATTTATTCTAGAGACGAGGTCTTACCAAGCTGCCCAGGCTAGCCTCAAACCCCTGCGCTCAGGCAATCCTCTTGCCTCAGCTTCTCAAAGTGCTGGGATTACAGATGTGAGTCACCACACCTGGCTCTCCAACTGGTTTTTAAATGACTTTTATCATCTCTTTGTGTGCTGTGTAAGAAAAAAACAATACACATTTGATCCAATCACTTTGCAAAGAAATTCATTTTTAAAAGGACTGGACATTTCTTGTCCTTTAGCTGAAACTATATTAGTGGTGCCAAACAATAATAATTTTAAAGGTCCTTTTTCATGTGTTCACAGAAAAAATATGATTTATTTTAGGGCAGAGGTCAGGTGAACAGAAAGAATGAACAACTTAAGATCAGGAAGCCAGGGTTTGAGTCCCCAATCTGATTGAGTCACTATTTTAGGGAAATTCAGACTAGGGTCTAAAACTTTCCTTATCTGCAAGGAAACTTTAAAGGATCTATTAAACACCATATGATAAAGCGTTATCAAATGTGTAGTGTTTCTTGGACCCAGCATGTCACAACAGGCTCCAGACTAGGTATTGTGTTTTAATTTTGTGGATAATTTTCTAGAAGTCAAAAATGCATTTGGATAAAATAAAGTAGGAGCGATGCAGAAACCCTATCTTCTACATTTGAAATAGAAAATTGTAAGTGGTCTATGTGCTTGTCCAAGTGCTTTCCAAAATAAAACGTCTTTTTGATGGTTTGGAATTGAGCATATAAAGAATATACAATCGAAATAAAATAATTTAAATTTTGATTTGTTCAGTATAGAACTACACACTGTTATAGAAATACAGCAAAATATGACATTTTTGATAGCCCTGAAATTTGCATTTTATTTGTTTAATCAGTTTTAAAGAGGTCAACTTGTTTGTTAAATTTCTGTTTTATTTTGCATTGGATAAAAAAATTATTATAAACATTTTGGTGATGCTTTACAATTTACAAAGCACTTTCCAATGTGTTCTCTTATTTATTTTGCAGCAATCCTGTGAGATAGGCAAAGTAAATATTCATTTTCCCATTTTATAGATGAGGAAACTGAAACTCTGATGTGTAATGTCACGTTCTGTGTAACAGATGAAGCAAGGGTCGTGATTTGGTGGCTACTGTGGCCAGCACATCACAGAGACCCAGCAAACATGGTGTTGAATGACAAAATGAATGGACGGACTACAAAGGCAGTTTTTCTGGTTTCAGAATTTCAGGTCATAGGGTGTAAAATAAATGTTCACTTATTCACATTAACGTCGTGTGTGAATATGTGGTGTGATGATGGTGGGCAGAAGCCCTACCTGGCAGCCTGAGTAATCTATAAACATTAGGACATCCAAAAATACCTAGCCCTGTTCATATTTAAACACCGACCCCTGAAAACAAGGAAATGCCATTTAGCCCACTAGATTTAGCAAAGACCAAAAAAATGTGTTCCTCTAGGAACTAGGGAGGGTGTGGGAAACAGACACACACTGGTGGGGACATGGGGCCTTTGGCCACCCCTTGGAGAACTTGCTGCCATCTTTGTCTTTCAAACGTACACAAACTCAGGCGAACAGAGGTCCGTCTGCTGTCAGATCAGCAGGCATTAGATTCTCAGCGAACCCTATTGTTAACTGGGCGTTCTAGGGCTCTAGGTTGCATCACTCCTTATGAGAAAACATTCATGTTTTTTTTTTTAAAGCTATAGTCCGCCCCTCCAACGGTCTGAGGGACAGTGAACTGGCCCCCTGTCTTAAAGGTTTGAGGACCTCTGAATGCCTGATGACCTGAGGTGGAGCGGGGCGCGATTAGCACACCCATGCCAAAAAGAGACCTGTACCGTCCCTGGTGCCAAAAGGCTGGGACCGCTGGTGTGGAGTGGTGACTGGATGGCAAGCCATGCAGTCCTTGAAAAGAGTACGGCGACTCAGCATGCGCTGATGTGCGACAGTCTCGCCCTGCAGAACCTGCGCAAGGCGAGCTGCAGACGAGCCGGGCAGCGGATGGCCCTCCCGCGACCGCCTGCCCCCCACGGCCTCCGGGAGGCCTCCGGAG